CCCCAAAACCCCAAAACCCCAAAACCCCAAAACCCCAAAACCCCTTAGTAAGAGAATTAAATAGAAATAACTAACTTTTCTATAACAGAATACAAGTGAACATCTGTTGATGTTCAGATTTCCTCTGTAGAACTGAGTCGTTCGATTGAGGATTAGATGATAGTGATTTCAAAAACAATGCTGAATTTGAACTCACAGTCTTTTACCTTCGCTACAACCAGCTTGTGGATAACCTCAGGCTTGGAAGAGTCTTCAGAAGGTTTGCAAGGGAGCTTTTGTAAAGCTTTGATCTCGAGTAATGCTCGAGATCTAGGCTCTAAGAATACCTTGCTGTTCGGTAAGTAGAATTGGACGCTCTGTTCCATCTCGACACTCTGGAAGTTGGAGACCACAGGCATGTCACCTTTGTTTTCTAGGAGCAACTTTATGATTTGTCCTTGTTGTTTACGTCTCATAACAATCTTTACCATTTTGGCATCAAGTTTTGTGTTGTACATTTCCTTTGGAATCGAAATTTTAAGTTGCTCTAAAAATCCAAAGCAGAAAACAAAATCCTTGTAATCATTTTCATACTGATGTAAAACAATATTTGATGTGTAAAGGGCTTGTTTATTTTGCACTGGAGACTTCAGTACGATGATGAATTCTTCTTCAGAATAGGGACCGAGCTCAAAGTCAATAGCTTGGGCCAGCTTTTTAGTGTAGGGATCTTCAAGATGCCAGGCATTTAAAGCTTCTTCACTAGTATCTATCTTAGTTTTAAGATGTTTACTGTATGAATCTTCTATGTCATCGGTAGAGTCACAGGAATAATATTCACACAGCTTCTCGTTCACAAGCTTTTGATCTATTTCAGTGTTCTCAAAAGAAATTGTGAATTTCATTGGTACATCAGAGTTATTTTTAGCAACAAAAGTATTGCCTAGGATCCTTCCCGGGTAAAATCTTTCATAAGAGAGGGTATTAGTTGACAATTCAAGCAGATTCGACATTTTTACTGAATCAGAGTCTTCAGAGTCATTGTGTTCGAATACATCCGCTTCAACTAGCTCTTCTTGCTCCTCTAATTGAAGAGCTTCTGTGAGATCACGATCGATCTCATCATCTTCTTCAGATAAATCTTCTAGAAGGTCATTTGTCTGAAGGTCGTCTTTGTCATTCTCATGCTCTTCAGTAGAATCTTCAGCTTTGGCATCTTCGAGATTTCCAGTGTCATTACTGAGTTCTTGAATATTTCGTGAATTCTCGGTTAAGAGTCCACTCAACTCTTCATCAGATTTGTTCATAGTAATATCTGTAGTATTAGAATTTAAATTCCCCTCCTCTTTTGTTTGAAGAAGTTGGGACTCAGAAGTATCTTCACTCTGGTGTTCGGTATTCTCTTGTCCTACAATGCCATGTTTAGAGTCTTGGTTGGTACAACTAGTGAGGGCTTTCACTTGATTTAGTTCAGGCTCAGTGCTGTTTCTTCCCTCTAAATTATCTTTATTACAGACTCTATCTGGTTTAGTCTCAGCTTTGTCTTTAAAGTTAGCTTCATCTCAAGATGATTTTTCGACTGACTGGATGTTTACATCCCTCTCTTGCATTGTAGTAGAGTCTGATAGTGGTTTTACTGTAGAAGTCTCAGTAGAACAGTCTTGAATCAATTTAAATATCTCGTTCTTGCCCATTTTAACAGTAAAAAAAAGGAAATATTAATAAATTTTACAAAGCCTATTTTCTTGTATTTATCAGGGGTTTTGGGGTTTTGGGGTTTTGGGGTTTTGGGG